GATCCCCTCCCTGAGCTGCTGCTCACACTCTGGGGGTGCACCCAGCGCACGGGGGGGTTCTGGGCTCAAGCACACACTGAAGCCGGGTCATGGGGAGCTTCTCATCAACCAGCACCCCCAAGTCCTTCTCCTCAGGGCTGCTCCATCCAGTTTCCCTCAGCTTGTGTTTGTGCTTGTGATTGCCCTGACCCATGTGCAGGAGCTTACACTTGGGCTTGTTGATCTCCATGAGGTTCACACAGACCCACCTCTCCACGTCCCTCTGGATCCCATCCCTTTGAACATGGAAGTATCAGATCACAGAGAATTGGTGACATTGCCCACATAAAGTGTTGACAAGTCTCCATGAAGGTTTAAAACAAAGATGCTGAAGTGTGGTTTTCTGGATACTTATTTTAGGACTTTATTTCACAATCGTGGCATTCTTAATAAGCTAAGTATGGGAAGTAAGATCCCAAACTAATGAAGCTAAAGAGGGATTTGGTTTTGTTTGCCCAGATCATTATGCACGTGTTCTGCACTTACCTCGACTCCAGGCTCCCGCCTCACCCCAAGTATCCCGACGGCAAAACCTTCACTTCCCAGCACTTCCTTCAGACTCCGGATAAACCAGGTATCAGCCCCACATTGAGCTGCTCTTTGCCTCTTGGCTCACGTCGGTGCCCTTGAAATCATAGAATCATGGAATGGTTTGTGTTGGAAGGGATCCTAAAGCTCACGCAGCAGGGACACCTTCCACTAGAGCAGGTTGCTCCAAGCCCCATCCAGCCTGGCTTTGGACACTGCCAGGGATGGGGCAGCCACATATTGGGGGAACTTTAGCTAAAATCTAGATACTTCTTTTGTGCTACTCATTCATTTTTAAGCTAGTTTGGCTATTTTAGCTAATTCAAGAGACAGGAGCAGCTCATCTGCCTGCTTCTGGCAGTGTTACAATCAGAGTGAAAAGTAAGAGAAAGGGAGAAGGGAAGGGGGGGGGAAGGAGGGAGACTGGTGAGGGAAAGGGGGAAAGGAAAAGAGGGAGTGGGTGGGAGAGTTGAGGAGGAGAGGTATTGGATGGAATGACTGGGAGGGCAGCTGGGAAGCTGCATGGTGGGTGCCAGAGAGGAGAGTGGAGTACAGGTGGGAGGTTTGGGAAGTGAGTGTGTGTTGAATGCTTACCAGGATTTAAGTACCCCGGAAGACATGTCTAAAACTTGTAACTAAAAGCAAGAGAAAGGGAATTTTAAGTTGCAAAAAGATCTGGAGCTAGGGGACCTTAGGAAAAATGGGAGTTGGGTGTAAGCGAGCACTTCTCCTTCACAGACACTTCAAATGAGAACGTCTTCTGCATCTACCAGAGCAGCATCAACCCACCTCACTACGAGCTCATCTACCAGCGCCAGGCTCACAACCTGCCCAAGGTATGATGGAATGAGTACCTTTCATTGAGGATGCGTTTCTCTTCCCATCAGGAAACCATCCCTGGGGCTCAGTTGAGGTGGGATTTTCATGTCCCAACCATATTTATTGACTACACATAGGTTGGGCCAGTGCTTGCAAACATGAGCTTGGTCTTTGACCACAATGCAGTACTTAGGCTGTGCCTAAATAATACCTTTAGTACCTACTTAAGATACATAACTACCTCAGCAGTAGCTTCCTTGTGTCTATTTACTGACAGGTTATGTTAAAATACCACGGTGTGTAGTTGCTGGTGCCTGTTGTCACCCCAAAGGCCAGCAGACCTGGTGGTGTCCATAAGAATTCCAGGGCAGCGGAAGCTTCCAGTCTCAAAATTCTCCCACAACTTTTAATTTTGGATATCTGCTTTCCAAAAAGTTCCAGCATTTAAAGGATTTGGAGATGATTTTCCAGCCCAAATCCCAACATTAGGCTTTTTTCTGGTATTTCCTAATTGAAAAATGGGAAGTATTGAGGGGAAAAGCACGAGGAGCCATTTTGTGACATCTGTAGTTGCTTATTCTACCTGAAGTACAGCTGATTGCTCATCAGTGACTCCATTCCTTAAGTTCTTCCCTCTTTCCATGGATTTAGGGCAGGAACAACATGTTCCACACCTTGCTGATGTTCCTGTATATCATAAAGACGAAAGAATCTGGGATGCTGGGGTAAGGATGTGGTGGTAACCATGAGTGTGGGGCACAAGTGGAGCACTGTTTCCCTCACTCCTGGAACCAGAACGGCTCCAGGGGGATGATACTAATGGTGCTGAACCCACCTTCTCCTTGGGAACACCAGCAGCCTTTCCATAAAATCAGTTAAATCTTGGTTTTGCAGGCGTGTGAACCTGGGATTATCAGGAGTCAACGTCCTGTGGATCTTTGGAGAGTAACACCTCCAGTGGGATGCTGGATCCAAGGAATGATGCTCCTCCGGTGAACTCAGACAGCAGCACTACCTTGTTGATTTAATCATAGACTTACTGAGATTGGCTGAATTAAACTCAGCTTTGTGGGCTTAGAGGGAAGACTTGTAATTCCTGCCTTATTTTTTTAAGCTTTTATATTCTCTTATTATTTAAGACATTTTGCTGTTGAAACATCCCAGTGCCAGGTGGGGTTTCCCTTTCCAGCTCCTCACCTGAAGGAATCCTGGTTCAAACTCCTGTTCTGCTGTTCCTGTTCCACCTACCCCTTGATGTCATCACCTGAGCTTAACTGAGCTCAGGACTAAACCACAACCACCTTTGAACTACAGCCCTCCAAGAGGTTGTTCACAGCCAGGAGTGAGCCCTTGCCTGGAAACATGAATGATTTGGCAACTTTGGGATCCAGGAAACTCCAGATGGGGATGAGAAAAGCCGAGTCTAAAAGTTTAGACTCATTTTGGTTCAGTTTAGTGCATGTGAGGAGAAAAATGATGTTGTTTTTAAGCCTGGCCCTTGCTGTACATGGGTTTTCTGACCCCAGGAGATGTGTTGGGTGGAAAGGAAAAAGCAGCTTTGATTTGCTGGTGTCAGTAAATAAGAGTTTGTAAGTTTGGTTTGAATTTTTAGATTTAAATTATGTGAAATTTTGGGTTTGCCTTTTACTTTCTGTGCCTTTTCTTTTGCTTTTCCTTTTCCTGTTGATCTTTGTTTTCTTGGCACCAATCACCCGTCCCATCCACCTCCGGCAGTCTCCTGAGCTCTCACACACCATCTCCCTCCCCAGCATTACTCTGCCTTTGCTTTTAGCTGCTTTTCACTCCTCCCATCAGGGGTTTCTCCTCAGAGCCCCAGCTTCTGGGATCCTTAAGGGCTGCCACGTGGCCTCAGCTCCTCAAGGGGAGACCAGGCTGCATAAACCCACAGACTCCTCCGGTCCTGGCTTTTGGGGCCGTGCCTTTGGGGAGGAACCACTTGGATTTGCTTCTAAAGAGGAGTCACTCAGTATTTGCCAAAAAGCTTCTTATTGAAGGGGTAGGGAGGGAGAATCTACTTGAAGTTCTGACCCTGGAGTGTTCTAACAGTGTAAAAGGAGTGTTTCAGAAGCAAAGGGGTGTAAACACTGATGATCTTCATGAGCTGAGGACGAGGGGCTCAGCTCATTCCCCTCATCACAAACTGCCCCAAACCCCACTCATAGGTGAGAGGAGGACGTTGGGTTCTCACCAGGGCCACCACCCTCCCCGGGCAGGGAGTTTTGCGCTAGATTCCCACTGCTGGGAAGGAAAAGAGGAATTGGGGCCATGCTTGGGACAGAGATAAAACCCCTTTTGATCTGGGGGGGGGTATGTGGGGTGTGTGTGAACTGGCTGTTGTGGGTGAGTGGGGCTGATACCAAACCGGTTCCTGGGGTAAATGAGTTGGTTTATCCAGCACTTGGATGGGTTTTCCCTGT